GATTGTATTTGCTCCAGATGCACAGGGCAGTGCAGTTTTTAATTTCCTGAAGCCTGTCGTCTTCCTGGTGACTCCTGGCATGGCGTCTGGTCCTGTTCATCAGAGTGAGGCCGTTCTCAGGCCACAGGGAATGCTAGGCCTCTCTAGTCAGTTCAGCCCTGAAGGTGGAAGCTCAGCACCTTGCTGTCCTGGTGATGCTGCAAGGCAAGAGGCCAGGGTCAGCACTGCGGGTTCCATGAGAAATGAGCACTGCCTCTCTGGGGAAGCTGTGGTTCTCATAAATGTCCTCTGGTCTCCAGCAGATTGGCAAGATGGCTAAGATGAACTCTCTCTGAAGCCCGAGGGAAACAAACCACCATCAAAATGAGTAGGAAGAACAAATACAAAATTAGTTCCCAAGAATTTCACGTATTGAAATTATCCAATTCACGGTATAAAATTTCTAAAACACATTGAAGTAAATAAAATGATAAACCACAAAAAAAAATGAGCAACAAAAAAATACAACAATGCTCAGGCAGAGTTTAAAAAGAACCAAAGAGAACTTTATTTCATAAAAAGGAAGAGAAAATGAATGAATGGACTCACTTAAATTTTAGATTAGACTGCTGGAGGAAAACTAAATAGATCTAAGGAAATTGTCTAGATTATTTCAGAAAGGGGAAAATAAATGAAAAACATTTTTTTAACTTAAGGGATTAGAAGGTAAAATTAGAACTAGTGTGAACAAAAACACTCCAACACTCTTTCCCCAGCATTGAGTTTACTGTGATGAAGCTCATGTGAAGAGAAACGAAAGAGAAAAAAGAAAGCTTGCTGTTTTGAAAGCTGTGTCAGAGTGGAGAGGCCAGGCCGCTGCAGGCCCTCACCATGATGTGCTGCCAGTGGGCAGTGCTCCGTAGCCCTGGAAGCAGCTCTGTAGTCCCCAGTGCAGATTGTGATCTCGTCTTACAGATAGGACGGCTGGGAACTTTACACACCTCCATGAGATGGTAGTGCTGATAAAAGTAACAGAATTACAGGTGCCAGTGACTGGTGCAATGTAATGTGTCAGCTTCCTTCCAGCACCCTCCTGGCAGATCTTACAGTCCGTCTGTCCTGGGTGTTTCCCAGTGCAGAGGAGGCTTTCCAGCTCTCCCGTGTGGGCTGTAGGCCAGAACCCCCACTTCTCCTGCCTGCTTTCCTTAGCATTGGATGCTTAGCTCTGCATTTTACGAAATGTTACCCAGCATGTTGGGGCTTTTAGTATTGCAGTTGTTTCTCCTCTGCTGTTTTGCCTTCATTGTATCGATGCTAGCAGAACTGTAGCCCTGAGTTTCTTAGGAGCACTTGCCTTTTCCTAGGTTATTGAGTTGATCTTGAACGAGTGACTTGAAATTGTTCAGGAAGTCTTTGTTAGTGTTTCCCATGTGAGTCCACTACCTGCTTCTGGCAGTGACTGTTTAGATGTGTGCTTAATCTCAGATTCTCAAAGTCAGAATTATGAGACGTGGTTGAAAGAGCAGTTAATAATTGGAACTTTTCTTTGAGACTTAATTATAGATACCATGAGCATTGTAGTATTTACTGATTGTATCTGGATTTTCTTATTAAAGCTGTTGCCCTTTTACCAACAGTGGCATGATGATGTTCCTTATGTTTCTGCAGTGGTTCACTGTGGTGCTGTTTCATCTGTACCAGTGCACCCTGTGGTTTTGCGTTTCAGATATTAACCACTTAACAGTTTACCCAGAGCTTCCCTCGGGCAGTGTCATTTCAACCAGTCCATTCTTGTATAGAAGAAATTTGATAAAATTGTCATTTTTATATTTCCTGTTATCTTCTAAAAGTTAACGAAAAATGTTCACTTTTTGGTCATCCGCATTTAAATCACTAGACTGGTAAGTGGTTAATATGCAGGTGATTTACAGAGAAGACCATAACCTCAGAGCTGTCCTATGGTTTGGGTGAGATAGCGCAAACCACTAACAGAACTGGCCTTTGTTCACTTCACTGGACTATCCTTTCTTAGTCTTCTTCCTAACTAGGGTCTTCTGGTTTAGGTCCGTACAAATGGCCTGTACTTAGGTAAGTATAGGTATCTTGTGGTCTGTAGGTGCTGCAGTTAACAGTGCCTCCTGCTCAGGCATATGCATGCAGCCTGAGGCCAGAAAGCCATGACAGGTTCCCCACAGGCTCAGACACTTGTCCTGCCCGCTGGCAGGCACTCAGCCCCCAGGATCTCTGCCTTCAGCTGCATGTTTGGGATGGTTGGGAAGAGTGACCTCTAAGGTCTCCGCCCTAGTGTCCTGTGATTTCATAGAGTTACCTTCTGAAAACAGCGGTCTTGTGGGATAGGGAGTAAAAATGAGGAGAGCAGATTTTTCGAAACATCATTTTAAGCTTTCCCTAATAATTAATCATTGGAACACAAGGTTCTAAAACAAAATGTTTAAAATTAACCTGAAAATGAAATTAAGAATACACTTCTATGTTCTATCCTATTTTCAAGTTTACTTGTGATAGGAGACAGTTCTATTTGCAAGGTGAGAACAAATAAAACATTTAGGAATAAATTTAAGAAGAAAATAGTACAAATATTTCTGTGGACTCTGAATGTTATTGTAAGAAATTTTAAAAGACCTAGTTAAGTAGACATCCTGTGTGCATGTACCTCATGCATAAAATTGTTGGGTTGGAAATAATCCCTATATTCATCTACAGGTTTAACAACACAATCCCTATTGATATCCAGTTAAACTTTTTGCAGAAATCAAGAGGCTGATCTTAAAATTCATATGGAAATTCAAAGTACAGGAATAGCAACACACTGTTTAAAAAGAATAAATTTGGAAAACTGACATTTTCTGATTTTAAACTTACCATAAAGCTACAGTAATGAAGACTCTGCTACTGCAAAGGATCAACGTAGTAGATTGATGGAATAGAATTGAAAGTCAGAAATGAACCCTCCCATTTATGATTGATTTTCACCAGAGATGCCAAGACAGTTCAGTGGGAGAAGAATAACCTTTTCAGCAAATAGTACCTGGACAGCTAGAGAGCTACATGTAAATGAATCCATTCTGACCCTTTCATCCCGCTTGTGGGACAATTGATTAACAAAGGATCAGTCATCCAGATGTAAAAACAGAAAGGATAAAGTAGGTCCGCATGGGTGAGCTCACTCCTCTCTCTGTCTCGGTGCTGTCTAGTGGCTGCTTCCCCTCCCCACAAGCCCAGAGCCCAGCGCAGGTCTTGTGCTGTGCAGGTGCTCAGGCAGTGCTGCTTATTATAGTAGGCAGTCCCACAAGATCAGATGCATCTGCTGGACTCCTGCACAGTGCTCACTAGTAAACAGGAAGTCGAAACTGTTTTGTATTGGGAACAGAGTCTAATAGTTAACACCACTATTGTGCCTAGTGCTAGTATAATCCTGACATTGAAGTAAAGGCAAATATCAAAAGACCTAAATTTAAGTATAAAATTTAATTTAATTTTTACAAGTCAGTAAAAAATATAAAATAAAATGTTGCCTTCCAGTAATAGGTTTAGAATTGTGCCTAATAAATGTGTCTTCATTTTAAAAGGCTTTCCCAGAGTTTGTTTTATAAACTGCTTTGGAAAGTTGAAACTTCAGTTTCTTCATAAACCCTATGACTTGCTATGGGAGATTAAATATCTGGATTTCCATAGCAGTGTTACTGTATTTTTTAATGACATAGCATTGGTATAAATGCATATACCAAGTTGGTGTAGTAATCCAGTACGTGCTTTAGCTTGTGCTAGGCCACATTGGTGATAAAATTTAGAAACTCTATTTAGAAATACTCCCCTTACTCCTGTGCCAGTTTCTCAAGAAGCCAAAACATTTTGTCATGTTTGCTTCCTGCTTCATCTGCAAAAGAAGGAAGGTAAAGTTACTGATATGTGATATACTGTGACATTAGTGTATCTGAATTGTGTGAACCCATTATGACCTAGCTCACATGTATGTTATTAACTTCAAGAATTTGGCATTGAATGATGTCCTTTGATAAGCTTGCTTGCATGCAGGGATTCAGGTAGAATTGTCTTTAATTTTGTCCTTCTTTGTGATCTTCTAAAAGTTGATAAAAGCCAGACATGTGTCTACAGTCCTAAGAAGCTATGGTCCTAGGAGGATCCCTTGAGCCCAGGAGTTTTCGACCCATCTGGGGAATGTAGCAAGACCCCATCTCTAAAATAAAATAAGTTTTCATTTAAAAACCAAAGGGCATTAAAATAATTTAAATAGTTTTTTTGATTTATGGTGCCTTTCGTCCAGTCATTTCAAAATGTTTATACAAAATTCAGGAGCCCGTTTCTGTAGATGCCTTTTATATGAAGCTGGAAAGTTCTATGGCAGTAAGTATAGTTCAGAGAAACTTCTGACTTGAAACCCTGTCATACTTTACGCATAAATGGCCGTACAGCTTTCTAAATAAGAGTGATCACCAATTATTTTGTTAAGTGAAAGACAGCCCAAATACATTTCTATTTTGTTCCCTTCAACTAGTTATACCCTGTGAACTAAGTTGCTTTCTCTCCTCTTCCCACTGGCCCCAAAATAGCCTTATTAATAAGGTATATATGATGTTTGTGTTCTTAAAAAAATCAGGGTGGCCTTAGATGTATGTCTTCCATCCTGGCGTTTCCCTTTACACAACCCTTTAGACTTTTCTGTTTAAAAAGTGGCATTCCAATAGCTTTTCTTTGGCCTAATGCCTGGGTTGCATATTGAAGCAGCAAATTAAGAATGTTAAGATGTCCCCCAAAGTAAAAATGTTTATTATGAAAGTAGAGCTGATGTGACACTTAGAATTAGAGCTTCTTAACTTGTCTAAATGACAGTTAATGATCTTTTTATTTTCTTTTATTATTTTAAGGGAAGGGGAAGGAGAATGAAAGAAATGCCTAGAGGCTGATACTGGGTTTGGTTCACCAAACTGTTAAATGTCAAAATATGTTCCACTGATAATACATCTTTTGTCTCTTTTTAGGAGCTAATTTTGTTACTCGAAAAATTAGCCGGTCAGTAGCTAAGATTTACCTTGGACAACTGGAATGTTTCAGTTTGGGAAATCTGGATGCCAAACGAGACTGGGGCCATGCCAAGGACTATGTGGAGGTAGGAACTGAATTGATTGGTGTCGTGCCAGGCTGTAGGTGAGAGGCACGACCTGGGGTGGTGACACACAAACTGGTAACAAACACGTGTTTATCGCAGGCTGCTTTCATTTCAAGGTTTGGGAGTATGTGTTGCTTACTCTGACTGTTATTTGAATGAGGAAATCTTTCACAAATTGGCTTTTGTTGGGTTGAAACAAAGGTGCTGATCACTGTTTTGGATGGTGAATGAGTACATCGATGAAAACTGTTAGAATGTTGGTCTTCCCTTTCTAAGGCCTTCTGCCTTCCACACAGTCAGCTGTGAAAGTACTCATTTTCAGATCTTCAAGGAATGATAGACAATCTCAATTTCTATAAGCTAAAACCTTCAAATTTACCTTACTCTACAAAATACCTAAGAATAATATTCTTACGAAACTTTCTGCATCTCAGACTTTGGATGCCATACCCCTTTTGCCATTGTGTGTGCACTTGGTCCACTAAATGCAGAGAGAGATATTCCTACCGAGGGAACACAGAAGGTGTCACAGAACATGGGTAGAGTCAGAGGGAAGTTCAGGTTTTTACCCTGCGGATTCCCACACAGTTAGTTATGCCTGGGTTTTGGTTACCACGTTATATATATGAGTACTGTTATTTTTCTGTTTAAAAACACACAGCTGTATTTTCCTTTGACCTGATTACTGTGCTTTTACATCTCCATGTCAGTTCTGTGACCAGACATGAATGTGCATGGTGGGGAAATTCTCTGGAGCTGCCTCTTCTCCTTCAGGGCCTTATGCATTTCCTGTGCTCAGGAGACTCTTCTGTCTTGAAGGGTTCTTATCTGGGAAACCAGATCCGGCTTCCTTGTGCATTAATGAAATTCAGAAAGAAACTCAGACTTTTACAAAAGAAAGCAAACACAGAGGACATACTAACACAGAGGTCAGCTTCGTGATTTTATTTTGTTTGTAGCAACTAAAAATGTGTGTGTAAACACCTAATATTATATATTATAGAAAAAAATCAGCTCTGATTTAAAACATTCAGCAGCACAATCCTTTGATCATTTGAATTATAAACCTATAATTACAAAGAACCCTTTTATGGCAGTAGTCTTTATATATATTTCAGAAATATTACATCAAAAAGCATATAGGTCCAAACTTGTAGAAGTTACAAGTAGGAGAAAGGAGATGAGTGTAGGAGAAGCTAAAACTTTCTTGTCCAGTTTAAATGGGCTTTGCTACTTAAAAATAGGAGACAAATTTTGCAGACAAAAATGCTGTTTTCTTGGTGATAACTTTAAAGCTAGGATACGCTTGAGCTATGTGGATAGCTATATGGATTCCTCTCTAGATTCTGTATCCCACTCCCCTCTATTCAGATTCTTTTCCCTATTCAGGAACCAAGTAGATTAAATTTTCTTCTATTTTATTCCATGTGGTCAGAAGAGAAGTTTAAAATCAGAAATCCATGAGATTTTGATGGTGAGGGAAAGGTATCACCCAGATGTGGGTGGTATTGGTTGCTGATGATTTTTATTTTCTTCTAGATCTTTAAAATGAATGTGTGTAAATTTTTGTAGTCAGGATGCACAGTGACATATTTTAAATAGACCAAAAATTCCAATAAATAGAAATGAGACTACTAAACAAACATGCAGGCAATAAGCAAACCTTCTGTGGGCTGACCAAAAATTCCAATAAATAGAAATGAGACTACTAAACAAACATGCAGGCAATAAGCAAACCTATAAGCAAACCTCGTAAATACACAGTGTTATCTTCTCGCTCCCCCAGGATCAGCCCTAACTCTGCTGATGGTGTAGCCCAGACCTTGGTACAAAGGGTGCCCATCTGTATTCATATGAAATAAAAATATTTTACAAACAATATGATTCAAATACTTTAAAAAGGTTGTCCTGAATGAAGTCGTTTTTATGACTGCTTGATCAGATGGTGTTGATGCAGAACACCCAGAGAGGACGGAATATTCTCTAAGACTAAGATGCTTGGGCCTTTTAATAAAATTGTGAAATTGTCACATTCCATGGATACACACACTGTACACACACACATGCACACCCCAAGTTCAGACATTCTTCTTGACAACCAAGGCTTGACTCATTCCAGGAGACAAGTGGGTTTTGTATATTAAGGATTCTCCTGGGGTTCTAACAGTAACATATGTTGATGATGTAAGAAGCATTTTATAGTTCTCATTTATGTGTTCTGAAAAAAAGCCTAAATTTCTGAAAAGGAACCATTATTAAGTAAGAACCTATAGTTTGCTACTCTCCATGTAAAGAAATACTAAAATTCTTTGCAATTCCAAATGTATTAAAATGAGGTTCCTTCAGAGACTTATGGCTAAATTGTTTGTTGCCAAAATGAAAGTCAGAAATCATAAAATTGAAAAAAGACAGGCATTGTTCATTTTAAAACACATGGGTATCCTGAAAGGGTAGGCAGCATGAAGATGGAGAGCTGTTTGCAGGGTATCAAATGAGTCCCTCACACACTTTAATTGTGTAGTCCCTCTTATTTAAACACAAAAATGTTGGAAACCCTTGAGATGAAGCAATGTATGCATTCTGCACTTATAGATGGGTTTCCCTGATGGAGAATAGAGAGCATTTGGCCCTCCTATTATGAGACAGGGTACAGAGGATCCCAGCTGTGCTGGTGAATTACTCAGCTGCATAAGTCTGTATATCTCAGTTTACCCATCTATGAAAAGGGTATAATAACAACCCTGTAAAATTTAGCACTAATGTGCTAGCCACACATGATGAGAGTCTACCTCTGTCTTATAAACATTTTTACAACAATTTATACAGTCATTTCCTGTTGCTAATTTCATTTCATGAACATCCACTTATAGTCCTGCTTACTAGATAAAAGCTTTAAAAATTATTTTAAAAGATAAAATATATTTCAACTTGAAATGAAAAAAATATTCAATTATATTGTCCTTCAGAATAAGCAGGTCATATAGGGTGTTACATCTTTTCTAATGGTTTATTATAAACAGTTTTAAATATACAAAATATTGAATAACTTTTACCATGAACTTCCACATTCCCAACACTCACTCTATATCATCTGCAAACACTGCTGCATTTTGCAGGAAAAATGTAGTACTTCAATAATTACTACAATGCTAATACATATACATGCTTAATTTACACAAATAGAAATTATCAAAGATTCACATTTATGTAGTTAGACTGTGGTTCAAACTTCTAAAGTGTTTTCATTGTCTGAACTATCTTCCTGAGCTTTCTGCAGCCCATTTCCATATCTGCTGAAGCAACTCCCAGTATTTAGGAGGACACTTGGGAAACTCATCAGCTGTGCCCAGGCAGACACAAACAGCCAAGGAAAGAAGGCTGGACTTCTCGGGGCATTGTTCCTCAGTATACATTCTATGGAGCCTCTGCTATGGTTACAGTCTTGCTGCAGATGACAACTGTGTCCAGAGATGGATATGCTAGGGAAATGTATAAAGTTAAGCAGATCTCTTTATAGTAGGACTGACTGTCAAAATGTGTGATATGTAAGTGTGCTAAGATTGATATAGGACTCCCCAACCTGTTTGACTGGGGAACCTTTTGAACAAAAAGTGAGTATGTATTGTACAGAGTTGGGAAATGGTGGAACTTAGAGTAACAATTTGGTTAACAAGGCCTCACCGTGGTCCCAGTAGATGAGAGTATCAGGAACATAGCTCTAGCCACAGTACACTTAGAGATAAGCAAACTCATAGGGGCTGGGCCAGAAGTAACCTTAAGCTCTTACCACTCACACCAGGGTCCTGCTCCCTTGGGAGACACAGTGGTGAGAGACCTAAGTCCAAGCCTTTTCAAGACTCGGCCAAAGCCATTTATGAATTGGCGAGATGTTTTCCTGCCCACAGCCAACCCCACACATGCTCCTGGGGAGTTCTGCTGTCCAAAGGCAGTCCAAGGACATTCAGGTCATTAGGGGCAGGCTTTAAAGTTCACCTGAATTAACACTGTGTTTCTCCACCACAAGGAGTGAGTGGGTAGGGAACAGAGGCTGAAATAAGTTTTAGAAACAAAAGTCATTGCCAAGTATTAGGAACTTACTTTTTGCCAGAAACTTTACTGAGGACTTTATATGATCATCTTATATAATAGACACTAGAGTCCTGAAAAACAGATGACACTTTCCCACTTTACAGATGAAGGAACTGAGGCATAGAGGGCTTTATCTTTGCCCAAAACCCTTGACAGGAGAGGTGAATGAAACCAGAACCCCATCCCAGGCCAGGTGCCTCCTTCATTTATGTCGGCACATTAGCCATAGTATCTAGGCAATTGTTTTTGAATGAATCATAAAATCAAGCTTCTCTCCCTTTTCTCTTCCTAAGATTCATGGCCCAGGAGGAAGAAAAATAGCTGGCAGATGAGTATCTGGCAGAAACAACTGTCAGATCTTGCTAGGCTTGAGATTCGGGCTCTGTGATGCAAAGGACCAAAGGGTGTGGCTGGAGACAGTGTGTATTGAGGCCTGGCCCTTGTCCTTGGTTTCTGCCTGTGTGAACCCGCACTGCTCTTCTCAGCTGCTGCAGGGTCCTGGGAACACTGAGGATCTACTGCCAGGGATTCAGGGCTAGGGAGAGATGGGCTGGGAAGACTCAATTGCCATCTCTCCTTCCCTTCTTCCCCATCTGTCGGTCCACTGCTAGCATTCTTTACATTCCACATTGTATAAATCTGAAGGGAAAAGGTCTCATTTAAACTTCCTAAGATCTTAGTTAAGAGAAGTTGACAGTGTGCTGCACCACTTTCAGCTGGGTGTATGTGCGTGTATGTGTGCGTATGCTCGCGGGACACTGAGATGGAGAGTAGCATCTTTTGTGTTACAGTCACCTAAAGTCCATGTTGTTGTAAGATCTCACTTACAGAAAGGAGAGGAAGGTTGCACTTAGCTCTCAGCAGGATCACAGTTTAGCTTCCTGGGTCCCTGGATACCTTCTGAGCAGCAT